CTGTGGGGTAACACAAGCATTCAGTCCATAACCCACCCTTTACATTGTACCGTCTCCCTCCTGACTCTTCAGATTTACTGAATTGGAGGATGCCCAGGGTTTCATTTTCCTTATTTTCCCGTTTGCATGTATGATCCAGACGGCCCCATTCTAGACATTCCTAAGGCCTCTAGACATCCAAAGCTACCATATCCTTTAATATCCAAATGGAAAGGTTGGTGCTAGCATTTCATGTGCCATGGGACCTACAGCATTCTCCTTAAATTGTCCCAAGATATTCTGGAAGAAGTGTTGTTCCCCTAGTCATTCATGCTATGATCTGCTTCCTTGTTTTAGCCTGGATGCTAAACCAGAGGCTGTTGACACCCTCTGTGCCCATCAGGTCCCTGGCACATCACACTATTCTTTTTCCTTTATTTCTTGTTTCCTCCTCTTTGTATGTTACTGCTATGACTTTTGTGCTACAAACTCAGGCTCTTGAACAATGTGACTTTCTTGATTTTTCTATGATTATGTTTAATGATCACCATTTCCTCTAGTGGCAGAAGGTTAATCTTAGCTAATTTCAGGGCAAACTCATAATTTCTCCCCTTCCCTTTTTCTCTCCTTCTAAATTCTGGGCATTGGTGGAGTGAGCTTGCATGGTGTCAGAACATCAAGGGTGGTGGAGGACTGTAGCCTGTTGTCCCCATCTGTCTGTGCTGGCCTTGGCTTAAGTGTTCAGTTTGTCTGGTTCTTGTCCTTCTCACTTCTTCACACTGGTATTTGTTGAGATGTCCTTTGCTCTGCCCACTCTATGTAAGTCGTGGCTGGTGAGATCTCCTTGTCCTGATCGCAAGGTCTCCCCAGATCTGCTGGCCGTCAGTAACATATCTGTGCCACTCTTGGCCAAAGAGAAAGACATTCCACTGAGTCCTGCAGCACCCTGGGGCATCCTGAAACTCTGTGAGGCCACCTGAAGTCGCCTTCCTGACACAACACACAGACACTCTACCCTCTGTGGGGTTGTGGGGGAGAAAGGAGAGATTGCACACCTGGAAAGGAAAGCACTAGTTTCCTTTGCTCTCAGATCCCCAAACTCTCTGGAGATTTGATGGTTCCTTCCTTCCTCTGGGCTAATCTGGGGACAAGGAGCAGAGCGACTCCTCGAAGACACTAAAGAGGCTGGGTATGGTGGCTCACACTTATAATCCTAGCGCTTTAGGAGGCGGAGGCAGCAGAATCCCTTGAGGTCAGGAGTTTGAGACCAGCCTGAACAACATAGCAAGACCCCCATCTCTACAAAAAATACAAAAATTAGCTGGGCATAGTGGCATGAGCCTGTAGTTCCAGCTGTAGGAGGCTGAGGCAGGAGGATCCCTTGAGCTCAGGAGTTTGAGGTTGCAGTGAGCTATGATGATGCCACTGCACTCCAGCCTGTCTTGTCTCAAAAAAAAAAAAAAAAAAAAATTAGTTGGGTTTGGTGGTGCACGCCTGTAGTCCCAGCTACGTAGGAGGCTGATGATTGCTCCAGCCTGAAAAAAAAAAAAAAAAAAAAGAAAGGAAGAGAAGTCTTATCTCCTTTCTCCTCTGACTCTTCCCTTTCACAGTCTTAAGAATATCTGGGGCAGGTAGAAAGAACTGTTTTTGACTAATCATATGTTATTTTAAATCTATAATTTATGACTGAAATCCTAATATTTTAAAAGTCAAAAGCCGAACACCTGACCCCTGTGCTCTGCTATACCATCTTTCTCCTTGTGTAAGGCTGTAGCTGAGAAAATGGAGGGGGTGGTAGGCGTGGTCAGAAAGCAGGAAGAGCTGGGAACAAGAGCCACATTGGGTAACATTTCAAAATAATATCCCGCTACTTAAATAAGTCTTTTTCTGAAGCTTTTGAAGTGAGTACTGGAGGGTGTCACCAGCACAGTGGCTTGCAGGGATCCATGGATAGTCCCCAGGCACACTCTAGACCACCAGGAATTGCTCCCTGGCTGTCTCTTCCTCCAGCTCTGCCCTTTCATAGTTAGCGAGTTACTGCTCCCAAGCCCACCTTCCTTTCTGGGACACCTACAGATTCTCCAAATTCAATACATTTATTTAGCTTCTTTTTTGTATTATCCATTTCTTCCAGACCAAGGCCTAGAGAAGGGAGCATGGGGTCCTTTCACATTGAAAGATGCCCTCTAGGAATTTTCCTATAAAAAGAACTATTGTCCACCCCACACTGTACAAATGCATGTGAATTATACCTCCTTCCCATTATTTGAAAGCAAGTGTAGTCTTGTTTTGTTTAAAATAAAAATTTTCCTTTCTTTTACCCAAGTGTGAAGAGTTATTTTTTATTTTTCTTGAATTATTACTTTTTAAAAAACGGACAGCACTTAGTATCAAGGATTTTTACTAGTTTTACAAAGTATCACACCCAAGGAAATGGAGCCAACTAAATTTGCATGCAGAGCGTCAGGTCCCCCTGCTTCTAAAAATGCATACCTCTTTAATAGCTCTCCACCTCCGGAGGCTTAGAGAATGGAAACCCAAACCTACAGCAGGCACACTGCCCAGTTCCCTCGGTGACACAGAATCTGAATGAAAACTTTTGTTAAAGGGGGAAGAAATGGAGATGCAGGAGCTGCCATATTAATTTGAGCACACTTGGCTTACCTCGAATATTAAGCATGATTTCTTTGGGTAGGTGTGGAGGTGTGCAGGGTCCCGAGACAGTGCGTAGTGTCAGTGTTTATTTTCATGACTACTTTTATTTCATTATGATTAAGAGTTTTACAATGAAATATTTTAAGGAATTAATTTTTATTTAAGTAGTGCTAGAAGGGGGAAGGGTCCGGGGAGGGATGCTTTCCTGTGTAGTGTTCAGACTTTAATTCAATTTCCTGTTTTCTTTGCCCCTTGCCACCTTCACACATTCCACTCCGGCTCCAGTTTTTCCAGAGAGTATATAATTCTCTTCTCCTGTGGGGATAGAGATAGGGGTAGGTGGGAACCACTGGTCTAATTGCTCCATATGTAGACTCAAACACTCCCCCTTTTCTGCAACCCATTGTCCTTCCTCAGCCTTCTGTGGCATCTCTGGTCTGCATTCTGAGCTTCTACGGGATTCTGCCTTCTACTTGGCCAAATCCCATATCATTCTAAAACGTGCTGTTCCTCTTCATATTTTGGGATTCTGCACCACATATGAAATCCTACTGCAGGGAATGGGATTGCCTGAGGGCCTGGTGGTCACACAAGAGCATTGTTCTTACCAAGTGTTTTCTGCTAGGGACTATAGCTAGCCTCTTTTGCCACCTGGACACCAGGTGTCCTCTTTTGCTGCTCATTAAGGCCTAGGAATTTATTCTTGGTGGCCACCATGAGCCTGAACAATTCCACAGTTGTGCCAAGAAGGAAGATTGACTCTCTTCCCCTCTGCATTCAATGCAGGAAAGTCGATCTCAAAGCAGAGTTGCTTGGACCCCACTGGGTTTGAGTTTAGAAAAAAAGTCTTTCTTTATTCTTAATGCTCCCTCTGTTGGATCCAGACATGTGCATAGAGAGCTCAGCCGGGCTTATATTCACGCATACTGAATGAGTAAATGAAATGAGAAAGGACCTTTGGGCAGTTCCCAGATGCCCAACTCCCTTTGGAGTTAGAGAGGGAGGGAAAGTTGTGACCACTGCTCTGAATGCTAGCCAGCACCCAGTTTTCTGGAGAGAATCACATCTATGGCTCCCAGGGCCAGGGCAGCCTGGTAATCCTCTAGTTACCCCAGTATGTGAGTCCAGTCCAACCAAACATCCCGAGCACTGGGCTCCCCTACAGTGCCCAAGGACACCGATCTCAAGAAAACTTTAGTCATCTGGCCATAGTGTTCATGTGGGGACTTCCTTAACTGCCTTTGGGTGGGGAACTCCAGGCCACCAAGCTGAAATAGTGGTTATTGAGTGCGTTCCATGTTTTTACAATTTAATTTTAATATTTTCATGTTTTTATATTTCAAATTTCCTATTGAATAATATTTTATACACTGTAAAGCATATAAATCAGGTAAAATTTTGCCTCCATATACAGATGTGTAACCACTGCCCAGGCCAAGATTATTTTCAGCATGCCAGCAGTTTCCTCCATACTTGTCTCTGCGTGATATCCTCCAGGGTAACCTGATCTCTATCCCTATAGATTAATTTTGCCTATATTTGGAAATTCATATAAAAGAAATTATGCAGTGTTTCATTTTTTAAAAGTAGTTATCTAGCTGACACTGTACCAAGTGGGAATGGGTTAAAGCTTTTCCATTCTCCCTTAGTGGGTAGCAGTGTGAGTTGGAAGGGTTTCAATCATATTCTCTCTATAACCTCGAGCAACTTATTTAACCTTGGTTTCCTCATCTATAAAATGGAGAGAATAATCATTCTTACTTTGGAAGGTGCTTATTAGGATAAGTAATATATGTGAAGTGCCTCATGCAGTGTCTGGCACATAGTGGGTGCTTGATAAACCTTTGTTTATTAAGTAACCTATTTATTCTTGGCTGTAATAGGTATTCATCAAATATATATTAAAATACTCTATTAGCTATATTTCTGGATTTCTCTTGCCTTCTGTGAACAAGCTTACATCTCCAGGACTTCAATTTAGGAATAAGGGTTGCGTGGCCAAGTACTTCCGCAAAGATTTCTTGCCCTTTCTAGAATTAAACGCTGTGACTCTGGCTTCCTTCCTTTGGATTTCAGCGGCCAGAGTCGCACACTGAGGAAGGAGGGTTGGGGTAGGAAGAAGATCATTTCTGAGAAAACGGGCCAGAGTGTTGATCTTTCGCTTCAGTAGAACAAAACTTATTGAACAAGCGCAAGATTGGTGATTGTCATTGATTTTTTAGTAGGTCCTTCACTCACTCACAGCCCAGATGCCATCTTAGAGCATCTCACTTTCCTGGCATCCCTTCGCGGCGAGGGGCAGTCCCTTTAAGGCCCTGGAAAGGGTCTTAACTAGGTGTCGGTTTCGGCGACGAGGCCACGCCCCATCACGTGTCCGCGGCCTCAGCGGGGCGGGGCCGGCGTCTCTTGCCTTCCGTCACTTCCGGTTCTCTGTCAGTCGCGAGCGAGGGAGCAGGAGGGTGTACGATTGCACGAGCGAAGCGTGAGTGTGCTGGACCCCAGCCCCTATTCCTCGGCGCCGCCACCCAGCCGACCCCCCACCCTCCCAGCCGGGCCGTGAGCCGCCCACGGCCTTCCGCTCCTCTTGCCGACAACGGCTGCGGGAAATGGCGGCTCTGCCTGACCTCCCCTTTCCCAGCCTTGGCGTCCCTGGGTCCCCTCCTCCGTTCCCGGCCCCGCTCCCGCAGCGCTGTGGGCCCCTCCGCGTCAGATGCCCGTCCCCGGGAACGGAGCTGAGGCAGCGGGCATGGTAGCCCTGGGCGGCGGGTCGCGGCCGGCCGGGGGCGAGGAGCCGCGGGGAGGGGGTCGTGGCGCCCCCAGGACAATGCGGTGGCGGCCAGCCGGAGCGGGGCGCGTGCGGGACCTGCTTCTCTGCCTGGCTTCGCTCGTGCCCCCAGCCCTGCGCTGGAGGCTGGGGGCGCTCTGGGGAGGGGAGAACGCATACGGACGGGGCGGCGGGGAGAATGGCTGGTTTGCTGGGGGAGGGAATGCTTCGAGGGAAGAAAATGGCGCTTGGTGCAAGTCCCGCCTCTTCCCAGACGGTCTTCTCCGTACTCCGCCGCCTCCCACGCCCCCTCCGACCAACCTGTCCTCCCTCGCCCAAGCCGTTGCCAGCCCCGGGCTTCTGGCAGCTTTCTTGGCGCCGCGGGACCCCTTCCATCGTTCTGGTGCTAATCGCCCTCATGCTGTACTGAATTCTTGTGTCCCTCAGTCCTAGTTTATTTTCAGCTAGTTTTTTCCCTAATTCTCTCCCACGCAATTAGCAAAGGCCTAGGAGTCTGGTTTTTTTTTTTTTTTTTTTTTTTTTTTTAGTTGCGTTTTGTGTGTATTCTACACTAACGCTTTCAGTATCGTTTGCCCGAAATACAAGTCTGCTTCCCCCCGTTTGGACATTAAAGTCTCATTAAGTAAAAGTAAAAATATATTTTGTCAGAAGTTTAAAGAGGCTAGGTTTAGTTACCATTATCTTTTCTTCTTTTTTTTTTGAGACAGAGTCTCGGCTCTGTTGCCCGGGCTAGAGTGCCGCGGCCTCAGCCTAGCTTACAGCAACTTCAGATTCCTGGGCTCAAGCGATCCTTCTGCCTCAGCCTCCCGAGTAGCTGGGACTACAGGCATGCACCCCCATGCCCGGCTAATTTTTTCTATATATTTTTAGTTGTCCAGATAATTTCTTTCTATTTTTAGTAGAGATGGGGTCTCGCTCTTGTTCAGTCTGGTCTCGAATTCCTGACCTTGAGGGATCCTCCTGCCTCGGCCTCCCAGAGTGCTAGGATTACATGCGTGAGCCACCGCTCCCGGCCATTTTTTCTTCTTGAATACAGTTCTTATTTGGGTGAATACAAGGTGGTTCTTTGAAATGATCTTAGAGGCCCCCTGGCAGTTTTTAATAATAGATGGTAGTTATGTTTGATTGTTTAATATAACTACCTTTAAACAACTTTTTGGCAGTTCTATAAAATTGTATTAAAAACTGAACTAAATTGATTTTGGAGATAAGGTTGTAAAATGGGGCAGTAACATGAAAAACATATGAAACATGGTTATGAATGTTGCTATTCTCTAAATTTACTTTTCTCCTTTTCCAGAAATTACCAGTTAAAATCAGCATGTCTGGGTCAAGCATGGTTTGAGCTTTTTGAATTTAATGGCCAGGATTGGGATGGCCCACTTCTTTTACCTTGACCTCCTATTGTGGAACACATTCAATGCCAGTGCTAATGCAAGTTTAGGCTAGAGAGTTAGATTATTTATGGTTTTTTTGGGGGGGGGGAGGGAATTGAAGTCTTTTTTTCTTTTATTGAGCAGATATTTACAGGGTCTTTATTAGGCTCTTTAGGGCATACAAAAATTAATAGGACCTAGTCTTCTGAGGTGGAGAGAGCAAAAGATAATTTGATAATTAGTGTTTTACCACCTGGTTATATAAGTGCTTTGAAAAGAGGTAACCACATGTCTTGGAATTCCTTGAAATTTGTAGTTTAGTCTTACTGATAGTTTGCTCTCCAATTTGTGCTCAGGCATTCAGTGAACATCCACTTGTAAGTAAGGCATTACACTGTGTAACTCTGGGGGGACCTGGGGAACTACAGGCGTGGTACAAATTTAAGGCAAGGTTTTGCCGCTCTCATAAACACATTATTCAGATTTTAATTGTATTCCATAGTAGAAAATCAGTGTAAAATGTAATGAATTATTGTGAGTTATGTGTAACTTTGTGAAGTGTGAGTTAGTACCTATATTGTTCTTGCGGTGATATGTTCAAAAAGTCAAAATGAACATATACAAAACATGAAAAAATTATTATACTGGTAAAATTAATTAGATACGGCATTTGCATAGTACAGCTGTTTCCTTCTTCTGTGAATGACGCGATCAGTTCCCCACAGTGAATAATTTTACATTAGGTTTGATCTCATTAGGGAGAAGTGTAAAGCAGTAATGAGTAGCATTATTCACATTTCTTCTGGTTTTAATTGTAATTGTTATCAGCTGCCTTCTGCAATCTACCCTACTACTTATAAACATCTAACCCCTGACTGTCTAAAATGAAGTACAGAAAGAGACCTGTTGGATTTGAGAAAGAGGTGTAGGAGTGTACGACATTTAGTTCTTTCTCCTTACACAGTTCAGCACATTATTTGCAATTTAGAAGAGCATAGATTAAAATTTATGCTCGGTGTAACAACTCTAGTATCACAAAATGGTAGAAAGAACCATGAAATTTGTCCTTGGTTTTTTGATTGAGCGAGAGTTACGTTGAACGTAGTAGAGTGATTTGTAAATTATTTACGTGATGTATTTTTCTTTCAGAATGCCTAAGTCAAAGGAACTTGTTTCTTCAAGCTCTTCTGGCAGTGATTCTGACAGTGAAGTTGACAAAAAGGTGACTATTACTGCACCAAGTCATTTTTTGGGTATTTAATTGTCCATATCCGATTCTGAAGGATAAAAGAAGGCGTATTAGAATCTTAAAGTGTGAATCTGGATGGCGTCTGGATCACTTCACAAGAAGTACCTGCCTAGGATGCTTGTTACACATTGACGTGCATGGGACCTAAATCAGATGATTCTTTTATAGAGGACTTTTAGGAACCCTAAAGTTGGAGAACCACTGCCTTAGGCCCCAGGGGAGTAGAATTTTAATTAGGCCAAAGCCACTATTTGCCATTATTTAGAAATCTACCTAATTGGGAGGTATTGTTTGTAGTAGTTGGGCCATATTACCTGAAGGCGTTAATACAAAGTTAATTTTGACAGCTTTTTCAGCCATTGATGTTTATTCTGCCCACAAGGATTTGTGAATTTTAGGCTTGGTACATTTTAAGTTTGAATGTTATATGCTCTGGTGCCTTCCTTTTAGTTAAATTAGCACCCAGCAAAGCTAACATGAAGGGACCTATTTTTTTTTTTTTTTTTGAGACAGAGTCTCACTGTGTTGCCCCGGACTAGAGTGCCGTGGCATCATCCTAGCTCACAGCAACCTCAAACTCCTGGGCCCAAGCAATCCTTCTGCCTCAGCCTCCTGAGTAGCTGGGACTACAGGCATGCGCCACCATGCCCGGCTAATTTTTTCTATATATTTTTAGTTGTCCGATTAATTTCTTTCTATTTTTAGTAGAGATGGGGTCTCGCTCTTGCTCAGACTGGTTTCGAACTCCTGAGCCTTGGCCTCCCAGAGTGCTAGGATTAGAGGCGTGAGCCACCGCGCCCGGCTGAAGGGACCTATTTTGACAGAATAGGCTTTTTCTGCATTAGATGATAGCTGCACTATAAGTGGTGTATTTTGCTTAATTGAGCATCTCAGTGGAGCATAACTGAGCATTTCACCCTGTGGTCACAGCTTCCTTCCGTGCAGAACTGTCTTTTATCTCGTAGACATTTTCATATATGAATACATCTTTAAATCCTAGAAATGAGATAAGTTGGTTATATTTTTTTCTAGTTGTATATCTCCTTTGTAAAAAAAAAAAAAAAAGGGAAATAAATAATTGACTAGTTTTAGTAGACCTGTGGTTTCCAAAAGTTTATTCAAAAGCAACAGGCCCTCCATCTTTTTTTTCCCCCCCAAAACTTAGCAGTGTTAAAAAAGGGGAGAGTTTATGGGAGAATCTTGGAGAAGTTGGAATCTTTAAGTGTAAATACAAAATGTTGTAATACCTGGAAGGTTGAAATAGGCTTCAAAGAACTTACGTACTTGAGGAAATTTCTTAATTTTTAAATTTGCACTCAATGTAGTATTTGAATGTGTTCATGTAACAAATGTGTGTTGAGCTTTTATATGCAAGACTTACATTAGTTCCCAGGGAATACTTAAGACTGTGATTTAAAGAGTAATTGCTTTCTGTTTATTGAGTGAATGTTTTGCATTTGTCCCAAATAGTAATATTGATCCTGTAAATACTTATATTAGATACATCCATGTTTTCTATTTCATTTTTACATATGTGTATAATATTTTTCCTAGCATCATCTAATTTAGTACATTACATTAATTTAGTAACATTAAAATATTTATATTTTACACCAAGAAGGAACATGACTGCCCTCTACGGTTTTGATTGGGAATTCTAGACGTTTTTATGAGCTGTTAGCTCATTTTGAGAATAAGACCATGTAAAAAGCTTTTACAGTAATGCTGCTTTTAAAATATTGTGATTTTTTTGTTTGCTAGTTTAACACATAGCTGTCTTGAGTAATTTTTTTGTGTGTGTGTGATGAGGAAGTTCTTGAGTTGTTGAGTTCCAGTGTCCAGTACAAAATAGTTCTCTTTGGCTTTGCATAATTTTAAATTCCTTCAGCCAATTTAAATCCCTTTTGGAATAGGCAAGGCATAAATAAACATTTATAGCCTAGAAATGGAATAAGTTGGATGTATTCTTATTTAGTGTGTCTGCTTTGTTTAAAAAAAATGGACTAGCTTTAGTAGATCTGTTGTTTCCAAATTTATTGAGAAGTAGCAGGCCCCTTCATGTTTTTTTTTCCTCCCAAAGAAATCTTAGGTGGAATCTCAAACCACAAAATGACTGTTCCTCTGGTTAATAGTCACTCTTGTGCTTGAGGTATCTTTTGGGATCCTGAGAACACAATTCAAAAACACTGTTAGGTGTAAGTGTAGGTTGAAGTCATAGTTCTATTGTTACATGAAACTTGCATATGTATGTTTATGATTATTTCTTAATGAGTAAATGTAGTTAGTTGTTTAAGTCTTAAAAAGTAATGAAATCTTTTGAACCTGACAAGTGTTTTATTTATTATGTATGCAGATTTTAACCATATTCTTGTTTTCTTTCAAGTTAAAGAGGAAAAAGCAAGTTGCTCCAGAAAAACCTGTGAAGAAGCAAAAGACTGGTGAAACTTCAAGAGCTCTGTCATCTTCCAAACAGAGCAGCAGCAGCAGAGATGATAACATGTTTCAGGTAAAGTTGGTTATTTCCTTAGATCCAGAGGAATTATTATATGGCTTGATCTGAAGGATGTTAAAATTACCTTGATCTGATATTGCATAATCTTTTATGTATGTTATTATCCTCTTCACTAAGGATATTTATTAAAATACAAGCATAAATTAGTAGAAGTAAAAGTAATTTGTACAATGCCAGATTATTGCTGAAGTCTCTAGAAGTCTAGTTTTGCTGTATTTAAAACAGTGCAAATTTACATGGTACAGAAATCCAAAAGAGAGTGAGAACTGCACATTTAGAAAGCAACTTGGAGAAGGCAGGTCATGTATTGGGCTGTGAAGTGTGAATAGGTTATTGGAGAGGAAGTGGCAATATGAACTTGCCTAATTTTGGCCTGATGAATAGGTTGAATAGGTAAAGTGAAGTAAGTTCATTAGAGGGAGTTAATGAATTCTCCTGGAGGGGACTAGTTTAGCTCCTTTTCTTCGATTTCTTGTCTTATTTTAGGGAGACTTGATATTGGCATCACTGTACACGAAGGATTTGTGAGGGGAGTTTTGTGTGGGGATAAGTGGATATAGGTGAGATTGCTTAGGTAATTTGTAGGCTTTAATCTGTATGTGAGATAAGGGCTTAGATGGTTTTCCCTAAAGAATAAATAGTGAGGATTATGAAATACTGGTGAGGAAGAATGGATCAGAGGAATTTAGCTATTAATGAAGACATGGACCTGATTATAAATGTGATAAAATAAGTAGGGTCTCTCCTGTGGCACCTGGAGGGTTTAGTTGGGAAATGTTCACGTGGGATCATCAGCATGGTTGACTGGAGCCATCCACCGAAGTAAGTATAAACCAGAGGAAGAAGAGGAAGTGGATGAGGGTGTGTCTTCGGTGATATTCAGATAGAGGATGGAAAGAAAAAGAGGATGTAGGTTAAGAGGTGGTGAAGGAAAATTAGAAGAGTACAGTAATGGGAGCAAGAAAAGGACGAGTGTTTCCATGAGGCGTAAGTTTTAGTTGAAGCCAGAGGTTGGACAGAGTGAGACTGCAAACACTTATTTGACTAGAAGGTGAGGTTAGCATATGTGTGTTTTGGCCTTTCCATAACCTTGAAAGGTGGAGTGCCAGGAGTAAAGTAAGAATGGGAAAATGGAAGTGTTTTTTTTTTTTTTTTTAACTCATTTTTGCCTTATACTTCCGGATAAAGAAAATAGTCAAAGTGCAAATGAACTATTTAGTTATGGGTTTAAGTCATCTGACTTCTGTGTAACTTAGAGAAACTAGGGGCAGACTAGATTAATTTGGTAGGGAACATAAGTAAATTTATATAAGGAAGAATTATGAAAGGGCCCTCATTGCTTTGAGTGGATGATAAATTGAATGTTTACTGTGTTGTGTATTTCATTCAGGCCTTGCCAGGTTCTAGATTACAGTGATGAACCTAGTAGATGTAGTCTGTGGCTTCATGGAATTTATGAGGACAATAATTATATAGGTAAACATGTCTATAGTTAAAATTATGGTAAGGACTGAGAAATAAAAGGGTGATTATTATGAGACAGTTGGTGTTCTAGAAATCTCCTCCAAAGGAAGTGGCATTTAAAGCTTAAGACATTAAGGAGGAGCCAACCATATGAAGTGTATGGGCAAGGGAAACACTTTTGGGTAGAGGGAATTGTGTTATTACCTTGAAATGGCAAAGAGCTTGGATTGTGCAGGAATTATTAATATAAAGGCTTTGTGGCTGGAACCTGGAAAGTCTGGCTGAGAGTATAGCTAGGAGATCCAGTTGGAGAGGAGGGTGAAGGGCCAGATCTTTCAGAGCTTTCCTGTTGGGAGACCGTGTTTAAGAGTTTGGGTTTTATTCTGAGTGTGGTGGGAAGCTATTTTAAGGGACAGAATGAAATGTAAAATCTGCAAGAGGTTCTCTCTTCCTTTCTCAACACTTTCCTCCCATGTAGAATCGAGGACTGCTTTGGAATGTTTTAACTTACTATGTGTAAGTATTTGCTGGGCAACTGTTTTGGGGTTTTCTCTGATCAGTTCTGTTCACCATATGCCTACTTTTACTGTATAATTATAGAGCATCTATGGCCTTTTAATGGATTTTATCTTGTCCATCCCATCCCCTAATTTAATAGATAAACCAGGACCCACATTTTAGAGATTGTGTTCTGTTAGTTTTGGGAAAACCATATCTATTTTTAGGGGGTAGTTTTCTTACCAAAAAAAGGAGCTTCAATTCTTAACCCCTCATTTGGAAAGGTTCCTAAGCCTCCTAAGGGTGGCACTTCACCTTCTGAGAGTCCATATAGGCTTTATTTTCTGCATAGGAACTTAGACCTTGTTTTCAAAGTGGCTTTCACAGATCTAGTAAGGTAGGCATTCTAATAGATATGATATTTAATTTTGTTGGCATTATAGCTTTTTCCTTAAATGGTAGTTTGGCCATAGAAAAATATTTTAGTGGTTGTACTGAATTTTAATTGGCTTAAGAGCACATTAGAGTACATACATAATATTAAATGAGACCTTCATTTTTATTAATAATAATGGCTTGATAATTATCTTAGAAAGATGAAGGATGGGGTTTTTGGAAGGAAAAACAGTACCCCCAATGTGTTTTATACGTTTTTTTTTTTTCTTTAAATCTGTGTTTTTCATTTACCAAGAAAGTGCTTTGAAGACAGCTCCTACAGAGTGGAATGTTTTTAGACATTGCTAGATCGTCAAGTATTAGACTCTTTCAGGACCTAGGGTAACAGATATATTTTGCCAAAAACGAATAGATCTAAAATCCAAATTAAAATTGTTTGGGTATTGGCTAGTAGCTTTAAGACAGGATTTTTTTTTTTTTTTTTTTTTTACACCCATCTCTTGAGAATAGAATTGGGGAATAATCTTAAGTTCCGGTAAGATGATGTACATCAAACATAAGCAGCTCTCCGAATGTAATATTTGAAGAGAGTTGTACCAAAGGAAAATCACTGCACTAGTCTTTTAAACTCTGGAATTGGGCAAAATCCTGACTAGAGAGGAAATACTAGATGCTGTCATTCTGGTTCCTTTAGATCTGAATTTTAAGAACTTGGCCCCATAGGGTAATAACCTACCCAAGATGACATCTGTGATATTAAACATAGACTAGAGAATTATCATGTAATTACGTTAGTAACTATGTCTTAAAAGATCAGAATGGTTGAGGTGTAGGGGACTTTGATCCATATTTTTATTCAGTTAGACACAAATGGTCAATAATACTACCTTAGTTGATTTGATGATTTATGGAAAAACCTGATACCCTTTAAATTACCCTTTAATTTAAAATGATCACTATTGAGTCAAGTGTTTTTAATAGGGCCCATGAATGGACTTTAGGGAGTCCATGAAATTATGTATTTTTTAATTTATGGTTTTTTTTTGATTTGAAGGGATTATTCACAACCTTTATCAAATCTTCAGAGGTGACAGGGAATCAAATTTAAGACTCAACAGTTCTGTATGATGTACATACTTTTTTTTCCCCTCCTGCTAATCTCCAAATTATATGCATGTAAAATATATTTTCTGTCATCTGATTGTTTTTTTCCTCTGAAATGTTATTGCAGTGATTTTTATTCTTTCTACCTTGAATTATTCCATCCCTACACTACTACCTCTTCACATTTCGTATTTAATTTTTGGTAAGAATTTGTCAGTTGTATCCATTTCTCCTCAAGGTGGAGGTGACTGTTGGGCAAGTTCATTCCTTTTTTTCTTTTTTTTAAGATAAACTTGATTGAGGTATAATTTACAATAAAATGCACAAATTTAAAAGCCTACTTTGATGGGCTGTGATAAATGTACACACCCTTGTGGCCAGACCATTTTCATCACTTCAGAAAGTTCTCCCTTGGCTTTACAGTCATCTCTCTGCCCCAGATAACCACCGATCTTTCTATCAGTATAGATTTATATTGCCTGTTCTAGAACTTCATATAAATGGAAGCATCGCAGTCTATTTTTGTGTGTCTGGGTTCTTTTGCTCAACATAATGTCTTGAGATTAATCCTGTTGCTTGTATCGGTAATTTGTTTCTTTTTATTGCTGAGTAGTATATTGTATGATTGATTGTACTACAATTTGTTGTATCCATTCACCTCGGATGGACATTTGGATTGTTTTGAGTCTTGGGCTATTAGGAATAAAGCTGCTGTGAATGTTCTTGTACAAGTCTTTTCGTGGACGTTTTTCCCTTTTGGGTAAATACTAGATAAATTTGTTAGGTTATAGGATAAGTGCATGTTTAACTGTGTAAGAAACTGTTAAATTGTTTTCCAAAGTAGCTGTACCATTTTATACACCTGTCAGCAATGTATGAGGTTCCAGTTGTTACACATCATTACTAGGTAAGGTCATTCTTTTTAAATTCATCCATTTTATTTAATGAGTATGTAGTAGTAGCTCATTGTGGTTTTACTTTGCATTCCCTTAATGTCTTAATTCATTGAACATCTTTATTGTGTTTATTGGCTATTTTTATATCTTTTGTGAAGAGTGTCTTTTGGCTATTTTTTTAAAAAAATGGTCGTTTGATTTATTGAGTTGCAAGACTATTATTTTGGAGATAAGTCCTTTGTCAGAGGGAAATATAGTGAATATTTTTTAGTTGGGGGAAACTTTTTTTTCTTTTTAAAACAAGTTTAAAAAACGAGCTGAGGTTAACAGAGAAGAAAGAACATGAAACTTAAGAGACAGACAGGAGGAGGGCGGGCCAGCTATTGGTCAGTGGCCTCCATGTCAGATCTTCTCCGTCTTGGAGATGAGATCATCACAGATTCTGGTTGGTCCATTGTTTTCTCTGTGCTGCGCAATCATCTTCAGCACCTGGTCCTTGCTCAGGCTCTCCTGGAAGGCTAAGGCCTTTGCAGCTGTAACTTGAATAGATATTTTCTTCAGGTCTGCGGTTTGCCTTTTTATTTTCTGAAGCATCTTTTAAAAGAGGCTTTAATTTTGATTAAGTCCATTTTATCAATTTTTCCCTTTTTAGGTTAATGCTTCTGTTTCTTATCCAAGACATACTTTGTTTACTCTGTGCTTAAAAACTTTTGCCAGTGTTTTTTATTAGAAGGCTTTTTATAGTTTCAGCTTTCATGTTTGGGTCTGTGATCCAAATGAATTTCTTTATGCATGGCATGAGATAGGGATTGAGATTCTTCCCCACATCCCATAATGTTATCCGGTTGTTTCAGCACCGTTTGTAGAAAAGACTATTCTTTTTTCCTTTGAATTACTTTGGATCTTTATAAAGAAAATGAGCAAATTTATAAAATGTACATTTATTTCTGAACTCCATTTTATTCCATATATGTCTATCTTTACTCCAGTACATTGTCGTCTTTACTGTATTTTTATAGTGAGTCTTGGAAAGTGCTAACCCTTTGTTGAGGGAAAGCCTGTTCCTTCCACTGGAATTTGTAGTTTGTATTAAGCAGCAGTGTAAGGTTTTTGAAAAAATAGTCTTCTGTGAATAGTTTTAAGTTCTCAGTACTCACTCACTCAGTGTGAGTGAAGTGCATTAAACATGTTATTTGAAATGAAAGTCAGAAAGAAAAACTTTGTCATGTTTACTGCTGACTGGAACTCTTGATTCCTGTATTCACAATGGTTACAGGAATTAGTAAGGTTGCTGGCTGCATCTGTGGTTTCCTGTTGGTTGTAGTTTGTTCTGCAGGATTTTGCTTCCTAATGATTTCATTGTGGTAAACAACAAAAGTATATTCACATTGTTGTGAAACAGATTTCTAGAACTTTTTCATCTTGCAAAACTGAAACTCTATGCCCATTAAATAACAACTTCCCTTTCCCCTTTCTCTAGCCTTGGGAAACCATCATTTTACTTTTTGTTTCTATGAACTTGACTGCTTTAGTTACCTCATGTAAATGGAATTATAGAGTATTTATCTATCTGTAACTGGCTTAATTCACTTAGCATAATGTACTCGGAATTCATCCATATTATAGCATGTGACAGGATTTTTCTTTTTCAAGCCTGAGTAATATTCCATTTTGTGTAATATATATTCACACACAATTTGTTTATCCATTCATCTGTGGGTGGACATCTGGGTTGCTTCTACTTTGGGCTGTTGTAAATACCGCTGTGAACGTGGGTGTGCCTTCAGTTCTTTTGGATATGTACTCAGAAGTGGGATAGTTGGATCATATGGTAGTTCTATTTTTAAATTTTTGAGGAACTTTCATACTGTTTTCCATAGCAGTTGCACTATTTTACTAATGATGTTTATAAATGTAGAAATGATTGGAAATGTTAAGCGTACTTTAATTCTGTCTTTTTAGAAAGAACTTTTTTAAGTGATTTTCTTTGGCTGCAGTTTCGATATTGAGACTAGTACAGTTGATTCTTGAACAATTCAGGGGCTAGGGGTACTGACCCCTGCACAATCAAATCTGAGTATAAATTTCAACTCCTTAAAAACTTTGATGGCCCTACTGTTGATCGGAGGCCTTAACAATGACGTAAACAAGTCAGTTAACACATATTTTGTATGTTACATGTATTATATACTGTATTATAATAAAGTAAGGTAGAGAAAAAATATTAAGAAAATCATAAGGAAGAAAAAATTCATTTAAAATATTGTCCTGCATTCATCAATACCATAGTTTGTCTTTGTTTACAAGATGAATCATCCGTCTGAAATGGTGGGCAATCACAGCTGCAGATCTCAGTCTATGGTACATATCAAGCAATTCAAATTTTTCTTGTGATGTCATGACTATTTGGAAGCACTTCCACATCACCAGTGGCACTTTGTGTAGGTCTCATGCTGTTACTCAAGGTTTATGGTATTGTACGCACATGGTGAAAAATATGCAAAGGACCTCGAGAGATCACTTTTTACTACACTATGCAATTTATTGGAGAGGTGAACTGCTTACATGGAGATAATTAGAGTCATATGGTATTTTAAACGGATACTTGCAACACGAGTGTACTGCAGTAGCAATAGGAGATGGCTGCGAAATTATTCTAATGCAGTATATGCTATAGTTTTTGCAGTTAGGATTTAATACTACATCTTTTGGCTTAAGTTTCTCTTGACTGAATGGTGCCATGTACAGTATATAAGGGTTTGCATAAGTTTTGATAAATTTTAACTTTTTATAATAGTTTTGTGTATGTTTTATGATAGTATATGATAAAATAGATGAGTATCTACCTATATTTTGTGCATCCCTGACATACCTTTTTCTTAATATTTTTGATATTTCTAGACTGTGAGGCTCATCTTTTGAGTTTTTTCAAATTATTGCAGATCTCCAAAAAATTTTCCAACATATTTATTGAAAAAACATCTACCTGTAAGTGCGCCTGCGCATTTCAAACCTGTGGTGTTCGTGGGTCAGCTGTATTCATTTTCATGATTAAAAGAGTGAATGTGCAAGTTGTGAATGTGAATATGATCGGAACAGACACTACTGTCAAAAAGGACAACTCTTTTTATGTTTGTCTTTCTTTTGCAGATTGGGAAAATGAGGTATGTTAGTGTTCGGGACTTTAAAGGGAAAGTTCTAATTGATATTAGAGAATATTGGATGGATCCAGAAGGTGAAATGAAACCAGGAAGAAAAGGTGAGATTTAATTTTTTCAATTTGGTTCTAATGTTGGCACTAAATTAAAACTTTTAAAAATAACCTACTTGAAATTGAATTGTTGGCAGGGCACCACACAGGGCAAGGAAGAGCACTATTTAGTTGATTTTCTTCTGTAGTTTTTTGGACATACTTTTTTTTAAGGAGCTATCTTAAATACAGCTGTTGGAAATAAAACTCAGAAAAATAACATCCCGGCCGGGCGCGGTGGCTCACGCCTGTAATCCTAGCACTCTGGGAGGCTGAGGCAGGTGGATCGCTCAAGGTCAGGAGTTCGAGACCAGCCTGAGCAAGAGTGAGACCCCCATCTCTACTAAAAATAGAAAGAAATGATCTGGACAACTAAAAAAAATATATATATATGAAAATTAGCCGGGGATGGTGGCGCATGCCTGTAGTCCCAGGCTACTTGGGAGGCTGAGGCCGAAGGATCGCTTGAGCCCAGGAGTTTGAGGTTGCTGTGAGCTAGGCTGACGCCACGGCACTCTAGCCTGGGCAACAGAGCAAGACTCTGTCTCAAAAAAAAAGATAACATTCCTAATATCACTTTAATTGGCTGCTAACTTACTTGAATAATTAAAAAAATTACGGTAGTTCTGAGGATTAGGCACTAACTGGGAAGTTGTAAAATCAGGAATGGAAAAATGCTGGTTTACAGAAATTCCTTTTGATTTGCAGCTCCTAATGGCTATTCCTTAGGGGGTAGTATTCAGGTGGGTCTCAGTCTACTTTCATTCTGTGCTTCGTCCAGTCCCAAGCCTGTTAGCTTTGTAGAAATATTCATTCACCGAATAGCTAGAGAGCATTTGTGAACCAATATAAATTTGGGTATTTGGATCGCCACTGTCGATTGAGCCTTAGCTAATGAAAAGTGCATCCTTATTTAGTTCTACTTTGCCTGCCTCTTAGTTTGAAGTTTGAAAAGTACAACTTGTTTGCAATTTTTTGGTTTATTAAACTCACCTTCTATTTGTTTTTGTACTCTTACATGTTTTCTTGCTTCTAATCACTTCTGGATTGGTCATTTCACTTTGTTCCAGAGTGGCTGGGTAATGCCAGATTTTGTGTTGTACAAACATTTAGTGAAACAATTCGATTAGCTTTTTAAGCCCTTCCTAGGTGTTGTCCCAGTTGATTCTCCTTTACAATTTCATGGCTTCCAGCATTTTCTTGAGAAATACATTAATTCTTCCAATTCTAGTTTATTTGTCTGTTTAGATGTGTCAGATAATAGAAGGCTGCAAGTTTGACAGAAATTTCTCTTCATACTTTTACATCTTAATTAGGAAAGACGGATGTCATCTAATATTTTTTAGGTGCTTACGTGTGTTGGGTGACATGCTAGTCTTTTATGCACATTACCTAATTATTTACAACAGCTCTTCACCACTCTTTGGGGTGTAGGTACTATTTTACTGGTGAGGAAATTGAGGCTCAGAAGGTAATGGAATTTATTTTAAAGTTCATACAGTTAGTGATAGGCTAGGATTTGAACCCTAATAGGTTGAATCCAGAATGCACACTTACCTAGTGTGTACATTTTAAGAAGTCCTGTATGAATCACATCTCAGGGATTTTTCCAAAGTGAAATGAATGTTTCTGGAAGAACTCAGCACAGTCACTTTAAATTCCTGTGGAAATTTTGGGTAAATGTTGGAACGAACTGGATGTAGTAAAGGGGTGTTACATGCCAAATATGGGCCTGACCACTTGCCTGCTTGTTTGCAGGTGTCTAAGATATGTATCTTCAAACCATCTTTGTTCTCATTGGTTAAAATAGGTATTTTGCAGGGTGCATTGTGGGAAATAAGATTGGATATAAGAACTGCTCAGGAAACCATGATGAATCTTTAACAAATGTAAGAGATTTGATTCTCAATATGGTAGCTTTGTGCCATTGTAAATGGCAGTTTTGATAAAACAGTATTCAAGTTAGAAGTATGAAAATCCTCAAGAAAGTTTAAAAGATTTTCACCTTTGAATTCTTAAACATTGTTTTAGGTATTTCTTTAAATCCGGAGCAGTGGAGCCAGCTGAAGGAACAGATTTCTGACATTGATGATGCAGTAAGAAAACTGTAAAATCCGAGCCATATAAAACCTGTACTGTTCTAGTTGTTTTAATCTGTCTTTTTACATTGGCTTTTGTTTTCTAAATGTTGTTTTCCAAGCTATTGTATGTTTGGATTGCAGAACAATTTGTAAGATAAATACGTTTTTTTAATGTGCATTATTAAAAATGTTCTGAGTGAAGCTAATTGTCAT